GTTCACACTTATCCTTATAGGGGATTGGATATATTTTCTCTGGCGAAGAGTTTAGGAATGACAGAACGTGGATATGCATGGATTGCTACGCATTGGCTCTCCACTATCTTTGACACAAAAGGTCCCCTCTCGCAAGATGTAATGGACACTATTCAAGGAACTCTTACATTACGCGCATATGTTCCAGATTCGGAAGCAAAGAGGAACTTTGTTTCTAGGTGGAGCAATTTGGCCAAAAGAATTGATAGTAATATCACTTTAGGGATGTGCACTTATGGTTTATATGCGTACGACACTGTCTGGCTACTTGCTCGTGCTCTTGATGCATTCTTTAAACAGGGTGGAAATGTTTCATTTTCTAGAAATCCTATGCTAGAAACTGGCTTAAATCTTTATTCTATGGACGTCTTTGATGGAGGGAAGTTATTGCTTGACAACATTTTGAAGACCAATATAAGTGGTGTGACAGGGCTATTCAAATACACCTCAGACCAGGAACTCTATCGCCCTGCATTTGAAGTTATCAATGTGATTGGAACTGGAGTCAGGAAAGTTGGTTACTGGTCTAATTACTCTGGGTTATCAGTAGTGCATCCTGACTCTCTTGACTCTTATCCGTCGAGTCGTTTTTCTTCTAGTCAACAACTATATACTGTGGTCTGGACAGGAGAAACAACACAAAAACCTCGAGGGTGGGTCTTTCCAAACTATGGGAGGACACTGAAAGTAGGAGTCCCTATTCGAGCTGGTCTTCATGAATTTGTTGAACGGGTACCAGGTACTGATATGTTCAAAGGGTACTGTATTGAGGTCTTCACAACTGCACTAAACTATTTGCCATATGCTGTTCCATGCAAATTTTTCCCCTTTGGTGAATCAAACTATACAGAACTTGTGGGCCTAGTCACTGAAGGGGTGAGTTTTGGAAACAAAGGTTCTTTTGTAGCGAAATTAATATTGGGTTTTGTTATGCACTTAACTACGATTTCTGTCAATTCAGGTTTATGATGCAGCTGCGGGTACCATTGCTATCACAAGTAATCGGACAGAAATGGTTGATTTCACTCAGCCTTATATTCAGTCAGGCTACGTTGTGGTGGTACCGGTTAGGGAGAGGGGCTCTAGTGCTTGGGCTTTTCTTAGGCCATTTACTCCTACAATGTGGTGTGTTACCGGAATGTTTTTTCTTCTCATTGGTGCAACAATTTGGATTTTGGAGCATAGAACGAATGATCATTTTCGTGGAGCTCCTAGAGATCAAATTGAAACTATTTTTTGGTGAGTGTCCAAGAAATACATTCTGTACTGAAATGAACAATCAGAGCATACATCTTACGGCCACTTTTGAAACCCTTTTGTCAATTTTTCATTTCAGGTTTGGTTTTTTGACGTTTGTCTCTGGCAACAGTAAGTGGATTTTTGTTTGTTTAGATTCTTATTGGTAAGCTTTATGTCGAGACTATTTTCTAATAATTTATAACCGTGCAGAAGAAGGCAATGTCAAGGTTGTTAGCACCTTAGGACGCCTTGTCCTTATGATATGGCTATTTGTGGTTTTAATAATAAACTCTAGTTACACTGCCAACCTTGCCTCAATCCTCATGGTTCAACATCTTTCTTCCCCAATCAAAGGAATTGAAAGCTTGTTAACAACAAACGACCCCATTGGTTACCATCGTGGTTCATTTATCCGCAGTTATCTGATTGAAGAACTTGGCATTCATGAATCCAGGCTCATTCCTTTTAATGTAACAGAAGATTATGCTAAAGCTTTAAGGGATGGTCCCAAAAAAGGCGGTGTTGCTGCTGTGATAGATCAACGTGTTTATATGGAACTCTTCCTCTCAACCCACTGCGAATTCTGTATTGTAGGCTCGGAGTTTTTCAGAAACGGAATGGGATTTGTAAGTATAGTAGCTTCATCTATTTCAGAAGTAATTTACAACTTAATTGTACTGGTAATCTATCTAATTTGTTTCTTGATACAATAATGCAAGGCCTTTCCCAAGGACTCTCAGCTTGCAGTTGACATGTCAACTGCAATTCAGGAATTGTCAGACAATGGAGAGCTTCAAAGGATCCATGACAAGTGGCTATTGAAAGGTGCCTGCAAATCACAAGACACCGAGCTTGAAGTTAACCGGCTTCACCTCAAGTGCTTCTCGGGGCTCTTCTTAATGTGTGGATTTGCATGCATTTTTGCCCTGCTGCTGCACTTCTCTCTGCCAATATACCAGTTTATATCATATTACTCCCACCCAGCTGATCAACCATCTTCCAGTGAAAGCTCACCGCGCCCCCGGGCACTCCTTCCGTGTCTTCATGAAAACGAAAGTTCAGTAAAATATCGTTCTAAAAGACAGCAACTCCACCGGGTTTCTTCTTGAAGGACTGATAAAGGTGCATATTCAATGGCTGACTCACTGGTGACTGGTTTAGTCAACCTGAAATATCAGTTTAGTGTATAATATGGTCCACTAATGTTATTAACCTAAAAGGATTCCAAAGTTTATGAACACATGAATACATAAATTAAAGTTGTATGTACATGTTTGTCTTTGTATATGCTTCACTTTGGACTATTTATATGTGTGTCTCCTTAGAACTCAATGATAAGGAAGTACAGCCTATAGAACAGATCCTGTTCAAGTAAGGTCATCACCAACATTTTCATTAACCAACTTATATTCATGTATTTCAGATCTGATTGTGGCCCAATAATAATAGAAAAAACCATGGAGAAAGATTGAGAAAAAAAAAAAAAAAAAAAAAGGTTCATTTCAGCATTTGATACAAATTCTATACTGTAATGCATTATATGGCCATTAAAGATGGAGAGAGATGGGCAAGAGACCTAATTCAGAAAATATCATCCTTATGTACACAAAATTCTTCTGTATCCCTTCCATTACTTGCAATCAGATACAAAGATTCACTGCAGATCAGAGAAGCCAGAATCTCCATTTATGGTGAACCCAAAACACCTAGCTGGCTAGCTCAAAGCTGCAAAAACAGATTTTGAACTTTGAAGGCTGTGAAACAATATTTTATGGGGTTCTTCTGCTGAACCCAAAATAGCAAAAAGCCAATCTCCATTCTCTCATTGTAGCCCAGATGCCAAAACTGACCAAAAAAGGATTAGAAGCCTGTCAGACAGCCAAGGGGACCATAACAATCCTCTACAGCTCCGCCCAGTGAAGGTTTGGGGCTGTTAATCACGCTCTAGTCACTTGGCCATAATTCATCCACCAAGCTTGATTTCCTGTCTCCTTAGAACTCAAGGATAAAGAAGTACGAGCCTATAGAACAGATCCTGTTCAAGTAAGGTCGTGTCCTTCCATCTCCTTCAGCAACTTATATTGGGGTATCTGGTTTAGTAGATTTCCAGTGTGGGACAAATTTCCATCTTTTAACAGTGTGTTCTTTGTGTTGTTTTGTCCAGTAAATGTTGCTTGCATTCTTTCTGATCTTGGTGAAGTTTAATCACTGCACAGCTCTGTTTACCACCATTATCTCAATGCCTCTCCAGGTGTGAGATCCAAAAAGTAAAGAATACCACAAAGCATAATGCATTTCCTGCTTGCATAATAAAATGATTCAATACAGAATACCATAAAGCGTAAAAAAAAATAATAATGATAGACCTGCGTTTGCCGGGAGTCGAACCTGGGTCTATTGCTTGGAAGGCAATTATCCTAACCGCTGGACTACAAACGCAATTGCTGAGAAGGATTCTCGTGTAGCTAGCAAGCGGTTTTGATAAAAGGTGTGAAAGGGTTGCTACAAAGTACAGATTTCTTACTATGCCTACCAATTGTTTGATAAAAGGGGTCAAAGGGTTGCAGCAAAGCACAGATCTCTTGCTGCGAGCCTCAGGATCTGATAATCTAATATCAAGTGAAGTAGTTTGAAGTGAAGAGCTTCTCCGGGCTTTTCTTGCATGCCTTATAGCCTTGCTGCTGCACTTCAGCGATTAATACGCCACTTAAATACTTCAAGCTAGCTAGCTAGTACTGCATATATATATATATATATATATATATATATATATATATATATATATATATATATATATATATATATATATATATATATATATATATATATATAAGATTTTAAATGCATGCTACATACATGCATCTTTTATCAACATTTGAAACCATTAATTTTGGTACGTGTTGTATATATAAGATGCATGCAAAATAATTTATATGAGAATCAAATTTTCAAACACAGAAGATCATAGTGGCTAGTTGTTAAGGTTTCTGTTTACTCAAATTAATTCTGAATTTTAAATAATTACTCTATCAATATTAAATTTTTTGTTTTATTAATGTAAAATTTCTTAACTTGTATCATACGTTTTCTCAAATTAAATCAAACCTATACCAATTTATTAACTTATCTTTAAGTAACATTATATGTGTGTGCGTGTGTATATGTGTGTGAACAAGTCTAGAACTATTATGTTTTGGACACTTTTGGTCCTTTTGATAACTTTTTCTTGTGAAATTTTATTTTAAGAAAGTGTATTTTTGGATGACAAAAAAAATTCTTTATTATTATTATTATTATTATTATTATTATTATTTGCTCTACATCTATAGTACATGATTCACAGAATCATGAACTAAAATAATGGTGGTTAGAGTAAAGACGATCAAGTGACAACATCCTGAACTTTCCAACTGCATTGCAAACTGATTACCCCGCACCGAGAAGTCACCACGTACTAATGCTATTGACAAAAGATGATTTAGGGTCGAGTAAAATCTTTCATTCCATTTTAATTTTTCTTAGCTTTATCATTTTGAAAGGGTTACCATACATTTTCTATATATGGTAATACTTGTTAGACCAAGGTAACCTATACGCGAATATAAATAATTACTTACAAGATATTGGTATAGTGAAAAGGAAATCTTGCATATTTACACGCATCATATTTTAGTGTGAATAAATTTCCAGTCTCCCTAATTCTTTGTCCCCTCTTTTCTCGCCATATGAGAGATGCCCTAAATGTAGAGTTGGTTCTAGCAATTTCTCATTCCACTCTTGATCAGACAGCACTCACAGCAGCATCTGATCCATTTTTGGTTACCACTTTACTCTTCTTATATCCATTATCGGATCGTGGTGTTTGTACTATGTCCTGCTCGCTATTTGCACTGTGCTTTAAATTTACGCGGAAGACTAAAAGAAATGTGGATATGTTTATATATTCTGGGCAAGCTCATACTCATCAAACACCAAATATCAACTTCTACCGCCCATGCCACCTGCAATGCAAGCTCCTTTTTTATTCGACTTTTCCAGGTAAGCAACCACACACTTTCTATCATTCTGTACCTATGAATGAATAGCATGCAATAGAATGCTTTTTTCCCCAAATTGTTGGGAGTTTTATTATTATTTTTTAATCTCAACTATGAATAAAATATTACTCCTTTGGTCTTATTTTAGGCATATGTTTGGCTAAATAAAAAGATAGATATGGTTATTCGTTGAAGCTGTAAACCTCACTACTTTTTCTGTTTGTTTGAGTTGAAATTGGCTGTTGAATTATTTGAACAATAATGCCTACACTTGTATGCTGGCCAATGGTATGATTTTGGTATTCCATTCATGTTTAATTTCCTTACTACTTTGTATCATACTAATTCTTATCTTGAACTTTGATTTATGTTTACTTTGTGTGTGAAACAGGGTGGAATCTGGGGTTTTGATCACTCAATTCATTATGAAACTGTTTTGGGCATTGATGTTCGCAGCTTTCTACTTTGGGTATTTGTCCCAAGGCCAAGGGGATAACTCAACTCTTTCTGCAAGGCCTAGAGTTGTGAACATTGGGTGTATTCTCACGTTGAGATCTGACGTTGGTAAAATTACAAAATCGGTAATAGAAACTGCAGTAGAAGATATCAATTCTAATCCAACTGTTCTTGGAGGAACCAAGTTGAATATCACCATCCTCGACAACAACTCCAATGGATTGCAGGGGATAGTTGAAGGTAAATACACTGCAAATATATATGTATTTGAATTAAGTTGACTAGCTAGCTAGCTTGCTTATCTAATTTTCGTGAACAGCTATACACTACATGGAGACCGACATTGTGGCCATAATTGGCCCCCAATCATCAGTCATAGCTCATGCGATTGCCCACATTGCAAATGAGATCCATGTGCCTCTATTGTCTTTCTCTGCCACTGATCCTGCTCTCTCTTCGCTTCAGTATCCATTCTTTGTCAGGACCTCACCAAATGATATGTTTCAGATGGCTGCAATAGCATCAATTGTCGAATACTATAACTGGAAAGCAGTGATTGCTATATATGTAGATGATGACTATGGAAGGAGTGGCATTGATGCATTGGCAGATCAACTTGCTATGCGGCGTTGTCAGATCTCTTATAAAGCACCTCTGAAACCTCAAGCAACATTGGAAGAAGTGAGGGATACCTTATACCAGCTGGTTTTAACTGAATCGCGAATTATTGTTGTTCACACTTATGCTTATAGCGGACTGGATATATTTTCTGAGGCGAAGAGTTTAGGAATGACAGAAAGTGGGTATGTGTGGATTGCTACGCATTGGCTCTCCACTATCATTGACACCATAGGTCCCCATTCTCCAGACGTAATGGACAATATTCAAGGAACTATTACATTACGCACATATGTTCCAGATTCAGAAGGAAAGAGGAAGTTTGTCTCTAGGTGGAGCGATTTGGCCAAAAGAATTGATACTAATAGTACTTTAGGGATGTGCACTTATGGTTTATATGCTTATGACACTGTGTGGCTACTTGCTCGTGCTCTTGATGCATTCTTCAAACAGGGTGGAAACATTTCATTTTCAAGAGATCCTATACATAGAGCTGGGGGCTTAAATCTTTATTCTATGAATGTGTTTGATGGAGGGAAGTTATTGCTTGAAAACATTTTGAAGACCAATATAAGTGGTGTGACAGGGCTATTCAAATACACCTCCGACAGGGAACTCTATCGCCCTGCATTTGAAGTTATTAATGTGATTGGAACTGGAACCAAGAAAATTGGTTACTGGTCTAATTACTCTGGATTATCAGTAGTGCGTCCTGACTCTCTCTACTCTTATCCACCCACTCATTTACCATCCAATCAAAAACTATATCCTGTGTTCTGGACAGGAGAAACAATACAGACACCTCGAGGGGCGGCCTTTCCAATCTTTGGGAGGCAACTGAGAGTAGGAGTCTCTATCGAAGCTGTCCTTAATGAATATGTTAAACAAGTACCAGGTACTGATATGTTCCAAGGGTACTGTATAGAGGTCTTCACAACTGCAATAAAATATTTGCCATATTATGTACCATACAAATTTTTCCCCTTTCGAGAAGAAAACAATACAGAACTTGTGCGCCAAGTCACTGAAGGGGTGAGTTTGGGAAACAAATTAATTAAAGGTTTTTTTAATTTATTATTATTTGGCTTTAATTTGTTGTAAACTTAACTACGGAGTAAATTTTTATGTGCTGTGTCAATTCAGGTTTATGATGCAGCCGTGGGCCTCATTGGAATCCACTCTAACCGGATAAAACTGGTTGATTTTACTCCACCTATTATGTATTCAACCCTAGTTTTGGTGGCACCATATAGAGAGAGGGGCTTTGGAACTTGGGCTTTTCTTAGGCCATTTACTCCTACAATGTGGTGTGTCACCGGAATACTTTTTCTTACTCTTGGGGCAGCAATTTGGATTTTGGAGCATAGAGTGAATGATGATTTTCGCGGACCTATTAGAAAGCAAATTGAAACTATTATTTGGTGAGTATTGAAGAAATTAATTATACTTGCTCGATCTCATTAACATCCATTTGTGAATTTTCCATTTCAGGTTTGGTTTTTTGACATTTCTCTCTGCCAGCAGTAAGTTTTGTTTTTTTTTGGTTTTGGTAAGCTTTATTATATTATGTTGAGACTATTTTCTTATATATAATTTGTAATTGTGCAGAAGAAAAAATTGTGACCACCTTAGGACGCCTTGTCCTTATGACATGGCTACTTGTGATTTTAATAATAAACTCTAATTACATTGCCAACCTTTCCTCAATCGTCGTGGCTCAACATCCTTCTTCCATAATCAAAGGAATTGAAAGTTTGGTAGCAAGAAATGAGCCCATTGGTTTCGTTCGTGGTACTGGTTCAAGTGCTCGTACTTATCTGATTGAAAAACTCCACGTTCAGGAATCCAAGCTCATTCCTTGTAAGATGGAAGATTGTGCTAAAGCTTTAAGAGATGGTCCCAATAAAAAAGGTGGCATTGCCGCCGTGATAGGTTACAGTATTTATATGGAACTCTTCCTCTCAACCCACTGTGAATTCGTTACTGTAGGCCCAGAGATCAACAGAACCGGATGGGGATTTGTAAGTAACTTATCTGCTATCCTAGCTTGATGATTTGATCATATCTATATATAGTACAGTACAGTACTGATTAAGTCTTTTTTGTTTGTTAATTAATAATAAATTAAAAAAATTAGGCCTTTCCCAAAGACTCTCTTCTGGCAGTTGACATGTCAACTGCAATTCTGAAAATGTCAGAAACTGGGGAGCTTCAAAGGATCCGAGACATGTGGCTGCTGAGAAGTGCTTGCATGTCGCAAAACACAGAGCTTAAAGTAAATCAGTTTGGAGTGAAGAACTTCTCAGGGCTTTTCTTAATGTGCGGAGTTGCATGCCTTGTAGCCTTGCTGCTGCATTTCATTATGGCAATACGCCACTTAATTACTTGAATAGCTAGCTAGCTAGTAGTGTATATATAAGATTTTAAATGCATATATGCTACATACATGCATCTTTTATCAAAATTTGAAACATTTTGGTATGTGTATCTTGTAACATTTTCTATTTTGTCACTATTAATGGTGCAAGTTAATAGGTCATTTATGGTTATAATGTTGTGGTTTGAAACGAAAGTAACGGTTTTCGTTACTTAGCCCTATAATGATGGCATGTATGCTATTTAAGAATGGCCCTCTCATTGCTCCTGTTGCAGCCTCACAACTACAACATCTAGTTACTACAGGAGATTAGTGGTAGACAAAACTCAATTCCTTACCGTTCTTCAAGCAATGCAACAGATCGAGATTACAATTATGGCCGGAGATGCTCGATCATATGCTTCCACTATCAAGGTTAGGTTACATGTATTGATTTGTATATTTCTAACATTTATTAGCTCATTTTAAATTGTTATTATGGTGTACAATTTATTTGGATATGAGCTTATTAATTGAATTTCATACATAACTGTACTGTACACTAGCATAACATTATATTTTCTAGATATGTGGATTTAATTATGTCTTTAGAAATTGCATAAGTTAGGAATTATAATAATTCCTTGTTAAGGTGAACTTTGTGTGTGGAATTATATACGGTAGTGCATTATGTCCAAACACCCTAGACCGTCTAGAATGTTCACTTGAGATTAAAAGTCTTTCCATATGTGAACTATTAAAGATTTGGAAAGATTACCCGTCAATTATGCCTTTAGTGTGAGAAAACATGAACCGGGCGAAAATTTCTCAGGAAGTGGCCAATGTGCTACTAGTTTCCTTGAAACGTTGCTCTGTCTAAGGAGTTGTTTTTTAATGAGGCTCTGTCTCAATCAACTTTTCTGAGAGTATACTTGAAATTGTTTATCACATTGTTGCATAATTGTTTTTAGGCTTTAAAGTTGATGCCTAAGATATTAAAGAAAATCGTCTAGTGATCTTATAATTTTGATTAAGAGAAATTTTCAATTTTGGTCCACTGACTATTGGAGTTGTGTTAATTGCAACACTTTGACTTTTAAAAATGTTAATTTAGTACCTTGACTATACAAACACTCTATATAACTTTTACTTAATTGCAAGCTTTAATTTACATTCCAATTTAACTTTTACTTAATTGCAAGCTTTAATTTACATTCCAATTTTATGATTCTTTATGTGCAATTAATTTACATTCCAATTTTATGATTCTTTATGTTAAGACTATCATGTATATAAATACTAACAATTAGATACTAATTTTCTTTAGAGAAATATAGCATTTAAAAGAAAAAGAAAAAAAAAATTACTCTGTAATACTTTTGTGCTCTATTTTTGGGTTTGTTGTGACTTCAAAATAAAAATAAAAAACCATTAAAAAAGTGAAATATTTTTTTTTCAAAAAGTTCTAATGATCATACAATGCTTCAATAGGACTTCTGGTCGGATTCATATAGAAATATAACACTTATAATAAAAAATAAAAAAATAAAAAAAAAAAAAGGAAAAATCATTCTTTTGGTCTCTCAATTGTTCCTCGATCTGCAATGTGGTCTCTCACTGTCAATTTTATGAATTGAATCCCTCAAATCTTTAAAACATAGTCAATGTGACCCTCCAGTCAGATTTCTCTCAAACTAGAGTTAATACCATGAACACTTTGGTAATTTTGCAATAACCTTAGTTATCCTCATTCTCCTCTCACAGCATTTACGCCCAAATGCAGAACCTAATTTCACAATAGCCTTATTTCCCCAACATTTCACCCCCAATTTTTTAACCTAAGCTGCCATTACAGTACCCATTTATCATATTGTTGCGAAGAGGACGACGAGCCAATTACACGATCATGTCTTCAAACAACTCCGGCGGGTCAGTAGAATGGATTCCAGAAATGCGATGTTGGTGCGGAAAAGTCGCTCCGGTAAGGATGTCCTGGAGTTATGCCAACCCTCGAAAGCGATTTAGAGCATGCCCACGCTATGGAGTGTGTGTAAGCATGTTAAACGATTTTACTTTGCTGTTATTAGGTTTTAGAATACTTAATTTGACTTTGTTAATTGATTGTGAATGTTAGGGGAATGGGAACTATATGTATTTTCAATGGTTAGACTCCGATGTCTCTGAGCGTGTGTCCAAAGTGATTCGAGGTCTATTGAAGAGGTTAGATAAGCAGGAGAGTAAAATGCAAAGGCTTCAAGCTGTTATTGATGAAAAAAATATCAACCTTAAGAAGAAGAATTTGGATTCCAAATTTCAATTTTTGTATGGATTTGGAATTGGAATTGTTGTTGGTTTTCTTTGTTTCAGGCATTAGATGAGAAGTGTTGATCCAAATGAAAAGTTTTTCCAGTTGAACTAGGAACTATTTGTAACTTAATGGTAGTTTGTATTGGTTTTGAGTAGTTTGTAAACACTTTGGTTAATTGTAATGGATTTATCTTACACTTTGATTAATTGTACTGGATTTGTCTTACACTTTGGTTAATTGTACTGCAATGGAATTGTCTTACACTGCCTTTGTGAACTATAAGTGAATATGGAAAAACTGCCAAATGTGCTAGGAAAAATTGAAGAAATGAACTACCAAAATGAGCAACTTAGCAAAATAAGCAAAATTGCCAAATGAGCAAATGAGCAAAATAAATAAAACTGCCAAAACCTTTGTGCCTTACATTTACTGGCAAACTGCCAAAATGAGCAAAATAAACTGCCTTCATAAACTGCATTTGTTCCTTACATTAACTGGCAAACTACCAAAAGAACAAATGACCAATTGAGCTAAAATACATGGTCACTTGTAATCAACATCATGCCTACCAAACTGCCTACCAAATCGCCAACTAACAATACTACAAAATACAGCAATCACTGACAAGACTACAAAATATAGTGCATTAACTTCATTATTTTGCTGTCAAACTGCCAAATTGACCTACAAAATACAGCAATCAACTTCATTGTTTTGCTGAAACAAAAAAACATACATCATTGTTCCCTTATGGTCACATACATCATTTTTTGTTCCTGGTCAATCTTTGAAGTGCATTTAGAGTTCTATATCACTGAATTGTCAGAATATTCTCAGCAACACTTGAAGTAGAAACTTGTGAAGCAATAAAAGTAGACTCTTGTGAAACCTGGTTATGAAGTGGTTGTGATGGTTGAGATCCCATTACCTCCTGAGATCCCTATACAAAGAAGTGGTCAGTAAGTTCAGAAATAATAAGTAAACAACCAACATAAAATGCTAAATGTTGAACATCCAATTACCATTTCATCAAGTACAAATGATTGCACTTGTGTTTCAACTGGTATCTCTTCAAGCTACCCTTCAAGATCATCTTCACTTTCAACATTATGATTTTCCAAATCAATCTGTCCATCCTCCTTAAATCCAGTAAACTTCCTCATCACTGTTGAAATGATCAAAATACTCCACAAAATCATCCATATACTCAACTTTTGGCTTCCATACCAAATTACCACCAATAAGCAGTTTTATATTAAAACACATATGAATCTTTACCAATATCTAAAAAGTAGTAATTTAAATTAAATGTCAATTTTACAGTTGTAATTTTGCATTTCCTCAGATTAAGATTATTATAAGAAATTATCAACTGATATACTGGACTGACTGATTCAGAGACTTGATTTGTCAGCCATCCAGTTAGAAAGCGGATTGGTTTAGAGTGAAAGACTAATGCAGAAAATAAATCAACACATACGATGTTTACCCAATTTGATACAGTGTGTATCTACATCTGGGGGACGATCACTGAGGCATCCAACCCACTAACTCATAATCCAATGTACAAAGGTAGAGAAACAACAATCTCACCCAAGTGCCCCACACAAGGTACGTACCCAGTCTACAAAGGTTTAGTGAATTGTTGAAGTCGGAGAGCCACGCATGCAGAAGTCCAATGAAATCCCTTCAATTGGAGAGCTAACTCTGATGCAGTCCGCTTCAATGACGCAGTCCCACGTTGTTCCCACAACTGAGTGATCTTCGCATCCTTTCGATTAAGCAACGTTAATTCTTCTCAAGTTCTTCATCATAATCACCAAGAACTTAATATCTTGAGAAGAGACATGATAATCAAAGATGTGTGTTCCTGTATAGCATGGAGTGTTTTTGTCTTTTAAACACGTAACCCTAATTCTTGATCGAATGAGGATACTTATACTTCCTTGGTAAGAACACTCTCCAAAAATATCTTTGATTGTAGATGGTAGGACGTATTTTGTGAAGAATAAAATCTTTCAGATTCGGTCACCTTCCAAGCTGATCCGTTGATATTATTTCCAAAACTGTCATCACATACCGCGTTCAGCATTTTGGAAACATCTCCCTTTAACAGATCTTTAGAGCAGTGCGTCTGTTGATAAAACTGATCAATCAGTCTTCTATAAGAGTAAACAGACACCAAGCTAAACCATATCTTAATTTGCCATAATAATATTGCCAATTATATGTTGGGGTTTTGAACAAAATAAAACACTAACAACAGTTTTTTGTAGAAAGAAAAAAAAGGTTTATTCACAGTACAATAAAAACACAATCAGTACACTACCTATAGTCCCCATGTGGGTACAACAAAGTAACCTAGAATTACAACTGGCCCCCACTAAGCAATAACCCCAGAACCCAACACATTGCACATGCGAAAAGAAATATAGAACCCTGGTTCGAGTTCGGATATGTACATTTATTAAAGTAGAACTGGTCTCCACTAAGAAATAATCTCCGAACCCAACACATTGCACATGTTGGAATCTCTTTAAGTAATACAAACAAGACAAAAATCAACTTTTCAACTACAAAAAAATAAAGCATAGGTGAGCTTCGAATACTTACACGTAGGAGTTGTATTGGAGCCATTAATTCTCCTACTAGTCATGCTCGTGCCCGTGCCTCGTCGTCTTCTTCGCAGCAGTAGGATCAATGATTTGGAGGTAAAAAATGTTAATTGCAGATGGGGGGTAAAGCTAGGATTGAAATGAATTTGGGTGTAAATGGCGTGGGAGGAGAATGGAGGTAACTAAGGCTATTGTGAAATTACCAAAGTGTCCATGGTATTAACTCTAGTTTGAGAGAAATTTGACCGGAGGGTCACATTGACTACGTTTTAAAAATTTGAGCGACCCAATTTCATAAAATTGATAGTGAGGGACCACATTGCAGATTGGAGAACAATTGAGGGACCAAAAGTGCGATTTTTTTTAAATGAATTAATAATTAGAGATAAATTGATTTTTATTCATGAAGAAAATATGATATATTTATGAAAAATTTTATAGTTTTAAATTAAAATGTAATATTTAAGGGTTGAAGATGTTACTTATGAGGGAAATTATAATTCTTATGAACGAAAATGTAATACTTATGAAATACTCAACTCGTATCACATATATATAAAGATACATAAATTTTGGAATAGGGTTAAATAGGTCATCGAAGCACACGATAATGCAATTGAATCTCTAAATTAAACTAACATATTTCATACAATTAGTCTAATTTGTAGATTTTTTATATTTCTAAAAGTTCACCTAAATTTAAAATATTTAGACAAGTATAATTGCATTTCCACATACACAATGTAATGGAGATATTTCTCCATAACATCATCACCTTATATCTAATAATAATAAATATTCTTCAACCAAATATTTGAAGGGTTAGCATCATTTATTTTATTTTTATTTTAAATTGAAATAATATTTCAAATTAAATAAATTCATCATTACCAAACAAGAAATTATCGATATACTTTTCCGACGTACCAAATGTTGTTGGTAATTACCAACTTTCAATGATGTTCATGAATTCTAAAAATAAAAATAAAAAATTACTGATATCCGAATAAATACATCAGTAATGACGTCATAAAATTGAAAAAAAAAATAAAGTTTATTCTTTATTTTGATTTTTAATGACAAGATACCTAATTCAGTAAATATCATCCTTATGTACACAAAATTCTTTTGTATCCCTTCATTACTTGCAAGCAGATTACAAAGATTCACTGCAGATCAGAGAAGCCAGAAAAGTATCCCTCCTCGGAGAAGCCAGAAAAGTATCCCTCCAATCGATATCCATAAGACTAATCTCCATCCTTACTGTTAGCACACTAAGTTGTAGAGAACTAGCCAAATAGTTTCCCAGTAAAGGATTGGAGCTGTTAATCATGCTCAAGAGTACGAGCCTATAAAATAGATTCAGTTCAAGCAAGGTCGTACCAATTTATCTTCTTCAGCACTTATATTGGGGTATCCGGCTTAATAGGTTTACGATGTGGGACAAATTTCCATCTTTTAAGTTTTAACAATGTGTTCTTTGTGTTGTTTTGTCCAGTAAATGTTGCTTGCATTCTTTCTGATCTCAATGCCTCTGGAGGTGTGAGATCCAAAAAGTAAAGAATGGGTATTTCAGCTCTGACTTTGGCCCAATAATAACAGCATAATGCATTTCTTGCTTGCATAATAAAATGATTCAATACAGAGTATCACAAAGCATGAAAAAAGATAGTAAAACACCTGCGTCTGCCGGGAGTTGAACCCGGGTCTATTGCTTGGAAGGCAATTATCCTAACCGTTGGACTACAAACGCCATTGCTGAGAAGAATTCTCGTGTGCCTCACAATAGTTTGATAAAAGGTGTGAAAGGGTTGCTACGAAGTACAGATTTCTTACTATGCTTACCAATTGTGGAGAGAATCAAATTTTCAAACACATAAGAAGATCAGATTGGTTAGTTGTTAAAGGTTTTTGTTTCACTGACTCAAATTAATTTAGAATTTTAAACAATTACTTATCAATATTAATTTTTTTTTATTCATGTGACGGTAAAATTTCTTAACGTGTTTCATACGCTTTTTCAAACTAAATCAAACCTATATCAATTTATTACTTATCTTTAAGTAACATTATATGTATGTATGTATATGTATGTGCGCACGTTATGTGTGTGTGAACAACTCTAGCATTCAACCAAAATACTTAATTGTCTAATACTTTTGCATGAATTAGGTTTGTATCTCTTAATATTTACATCAACTTACTTCTCAATATATATGCTTCTTAATAAACAGTTAAATTAAAAATACTGAGGGGGTGTTTGGTTCATGGGTTTTGAATTCTACCACTGAATTCAAATTCCATTATTGTGTCTGTTTCAATATTTTATGTGTATTTGGATGTGATTCAAATCATGAAATGTTGGCCCCGAGGGTCGAGAGGTTGTTGGGATCATTCAAGTCTAGAAGGGAGGGGAGTGAATAGACTTGATTGATTTTTGTAAAATAGATGAGTTCAGGTAAATTTAAATTCAAATAAAATCGGAGATTTTAAAAATTTATATGCAGCAAAAAAAAATATTGACACTTTTTAATTTAAAGTATATATTTGTTCTTTTTAAAGATTTAGGTTTGGATGATTATTAAGAGCGAAATGTAAATTTTTTTATTCTAAATAAAGAGAGAAATATTTTCTATATATGGTAACACTTGTTAGATTTATAAAGTGACATATATACGAATATAAATTATTGTGTTATATTCTTGATAGAAGGATTTCTTATATTTTTAGGCCAAGTCGACTAGACTCGATCGATCTCCTAATATAGAGTTGCTTCTCCCTGAGCTCTCATTCCACTTTTGTAAAGACAACAGCATCTAGTCCTTGTTTAGCTACCACTTTTCTCTCCTATCTTCTTCTTTCCCCTACAAGAAAAAAGAAAAAAAAAAAAAGGTAATAATAAATATAATCTTAAACGGTAAAATTCTCGTTATATTTTCAAAAATTTGATTAGAAAGAAAAAATTGAATCAAAATTATAGTCCACCCAACTAAGTTAACAAGAAGTAAAAGAGTGAGTCTCTTGTGAAACAGGTCGGATCAATATGAAAATGTAATACTTATGTTGAAAAATGTAATATTAATTCTATGATGAATAAATTAATTGTTACTTATAAAGAAAAGTATAATACTTTTGAAGAAAAATAATATAATACTTTAAAATCAAAATGTAATATTTAGGAGTTGAACAATTAATTATAAGAAAAATAAAATATTAATAAATGATAAATTAATTTATTATTACTTATTAGAGAAAACGTAATACTTTTGAGAAAAAATATAATATTTTAAAATTAAAATGTAATATTAGAGGTTAATAGTTATTTATGAAGAAAATTGTAATACATGTATTGTAAAAGAGTTAAATGCAACGGAGGTCCCTTGTCTTTGATGACAATTTCGAATTTAATCTCAAATTATTGTTTTTTTTATTTAATACTTCAAATTATCATATTTTGGATGTTTTTGGTCCTTCCGATATGATGACTTTTAGGTGAAACACTATTTTAGGTAAGGATATTTTCGTCTCTTCAATTTTTTAAAATTTATTTTCGAGATGAGTTAATTCCAGCAGAGGTCCCTTGTCTTCGGTTGTACTTTGTCCTGCTCCGTAATTGTGCTTCAAATTTACGCAGAGGACTAAAAGTGATGAGATGAGGGTACGTTGATGCCCTCCATTGTTGGATAAGTTTATAAATTCTGGGCAACTTCTTCAATCATATATATTATCACTCAAACATACACCAAATATCAACTTCTTCTTTTCCAGGTAAGCATAAAGCATGCATGCATACACTTCCTATCATTATATTCAAGCATGCACTTTTTTTGTCCCATTTTATATGCTTGATTCCGTTGACTCAAAATTCATATTTTTGAAATATTTAGCTTAGTGTATGAAAGGTACTATTGTTGATTGTAATTTATGCTTAAAAGCTAGGGAAGTAGGGAGTACATTAAAAGTAGTGTTTATTGGATTATGATAAGACTTTTAACTCTCCCCGTGCTGTGTAGATAGATATGCTTATTCGTTGATTCTGTAAACTTCCAATTCATTACTTTTTTCTGTTTGTTTGAATTGAAATTGAATTGCCTATTCTGAGCTTTGAATTACTGGAATAACTCCTACACTTATAATATTCTGATCTGGGCTATGCTATGATTTTGATATTCCATTGATGTTTGATTTCCTAGCTTATTCTTGAAGTTTGAGTTATATTTACTTTCTGTGCGAATTGAAACAGGGTAGAATCTGGGGTTTGATTCAATATGAAAGTGTTTTGGGCATTGATATTGGCAGTTTTATACTGTGGGTATTTGCCCCAAGGCCAAGGGGTTAACTCAATTCTTTCTGCAAGGCCTAGGGTTGTGAACATTGGGTGTATTCTTACGTTGAGGTCTCCCGTCGGTAAAATTACAAAATTGGTAATAGAAACTGCAGTAGAAGATATCAATTCTAATCCAGCTGTTCTTGGAGGAACCAAATTGAATATCACCTTCCTTGATAACAACTCCAATGGATTGCTGGGGATAATTGAAGGTAACTAAATTCACTGCAAATATATATATGTATTTGTGAATTAAGTTGAGTAGCTAGCTAGCTAGCTTATCTTATCGATCGAATTTTCATGAACAGCTATACACTACATGGGGACCGACACCGTGGCCATAATTGGGCCCCAATCTTCAGTCATAGCTCATGCGATTTCCCACATCGCGAATGAGATCCATGTCCCTCTATTGTCTTTCTCTGCCACTGATCCTGCTCTCTCTTCCCTTCAGTATCCATTCTTTGTCAGGACGTCACCAAATGATATGTTTCAGATGGCTGCAATAGCATCAATTGTCGAATACTATAACTGGAAAGCAGTGATTGCTATATATGTAGACGATGAGTATGGAAGGAGTGGCATTGCTGCATTATCCGATCAACTGGCTATGAGGCGATGTCGGATCTCTTGTAAAGCGCCTCTGAAACCTCGAGCAACATTGGAAGAAGTGAGGGATACCTTATCTCAGCTGGCTTTAACTGAATCACGAATCATTGTTGTTCACACTTATCCTTATAGGGGACTGGATATATTTTCTCAGGCGAAGAGTTTAGGAATGACAGAAAGTGGGTATGTGTGGATTGCTACGCATTGGCTCTCCACTATCTTTGACACCATAGGTCCCCTTTCTCCAGACGTAATGGACAATATTCAAGGAACTATTACATTACGCACATATGTTCCAGATTCAGAAGGAAAGAGGAAGTTCGTCTCTAGGTGGAGCGATTTGGCCAAAAGAATTAATGATAGTAATACTACTTTAGGGATGTGCACTTATGGTTTATATGCTTATGACACTGTGTGGCTGCTTGCTCGTGCTCTTGATGCATTCTTTAAACAGGGTGGAAACATTTCATTTTCTATAGATCCTCGAGAGGACTTTAATCTTTATTCTATGAACGTCTTTGATGGAGGGAAGTTATTGGTGGACAGCATTTTGAAGACCAATATAACCGGGGTGACAGGACTATTCAAATTTACCTCGGATAGGGAACTCTATCGCCCTGCGTTTGAAGTTATTAATGTGATTGGAAGTGGAATGAGGAGAGTTGGTTACTGGTCTAATGACTCTGGGTTATCAGTAGTGCATCCTGACTCTCTCGACTCTTATCCGTCAAGTCGTTTACCTTCTCAAAAACTATATCCCGTGGTCTGGACTGGAGAAACAGTACAGAAACCTCGAGGGTGGGTCTTTCCAAACTCTGGGAGGCCACTGAACATAGGGGTCTCTATCCAAGCCGGCCTTAATGAATTTGTTGAACAAATACCAGGTACTGATATGTTCCAAGGGTACTGTATTGAGGTCTTCACAACTGCACTAAACTATTTGCCATATGCTGTACCATACAAATTTGTCCCCTTTGGAGAATCTAACAATACACAACTCCTGCGCCAAATCACTCAAGGGGTGAGTTAGTTTGCGAAACAAAGTAATTATTGGGCTTTGATTTGTTGTAAACTTAACTATATATGTGTTGCGTTGTGTGAATTCAGGTTTATGATGCAGGTGTGGGTATCATTACAATCACAACTAGTCGGATAGAAATGGTTGATTTTACACAACCTTATATGGAGTCAGGCCTAGTTGTGGTGGCACCATTTCGAGAGAGTGGCTCTAGTGCTTATTGGGCTTTTCTTAGGCCATTTACTCCTACGATGTGGTGTGTCACCGGAATGTTTTTTCTTCTCATTGGTGCAGCGATTTGGATTTTGGAGCACAGAATGAATGACGATTTTCGTGGACCTCGTAGAAAGCAAATTGAAATTATTGTTTGGTGAGTATCCAAGAAATATATATATTTAATTTGTACTGAAATAGACAATCAGAACACAAATCTTACTATTCAATTTGTGAATTTTCCATTTCTGCAGGTTTGGTTTTTTGACATTTTTCTCTGCCAACAGTAAGTGGATTTTTGTTTGTTTAGACTTTAGATTGGATATATCTTTTGGTAAGTTTTATGTTGAGTCTATTTTCTTATATATAATGCAGAAGAAAACACATTTAGAATTGTGAGCAGCTTAGGACGGCTTGTCCTTATGGTATGGCTATTTGTGGTTTTAATAATAAACTCTAGTTACACAGCCAACCTTACCTCAATCCTCATGGCTCAACATCTTTCTTCCCCAATCAAAGGAATTGAAAGTTTGTTAACAACAAATGACCCCATTGGCTACCACCGCGGTTCAATTGCTCGCGATTATATGATTCAAGAACTCCACATTCATGAATCCAGGCTAGTTCCTTTTAACGGGATACAAGATTTTGCTAAAGCTTTAAGAAATGGTCCCAAAAAAGGCGGTGTTGTGGCTGTCGTAGGCTACCGTGCTTATATGGAACTCTTCCTCTCAACCCACTGTGAATTCTGTATCGTTGGCGATGAGTTCACCAGAAACGGATGGGGATTTGTAAGTAGCTCAGCTCAGCTCGATCTATCATTTCTTTTTGTTTTTCAACTTTTTACTCACTCGATCACTGCACCTACCTTACTCGATCTTGATTTGTTAATAATAAATTAAAAATTAGGCCTTTCCCAAAGACTCTCCTCTGGCAGTTGACATGTCAACTGCAATTCTGGAATTGTCAGAGAATGGAGAGCTTCAAATGATCCATGACAAGTGGCTGCTGGGAAGGGCTTGCATGTCGCAAAACACAAAGCTTCAAGTGAAGCAGTTTGAAGTGAAGAGCTTCTTAGGGCTTTTCTTAATGTGTGGATTTGCATGCCTTTTAGCTTTGCTGCTGCACTTCATTATGGCAATACGCCACTTGATTACTTCAAGCTAGCTATCTAGCTAGTAGTGTATATATAAGGGTATGTGTATAATATATAAGATGCATGCAAAATAATTTATATAGAGAGAATCAAATTTTCATGCGTATATATAAGGGTATGTGTATAATATATAGTAGAGTACATATAAGATTATATTTTAAATGCATGCTACATGCATCTTTTATCAAAATTTCAATTATTATACTATGGACCAGGATTGATATTGCATTGTGAACTTTGATGCAAAATTTTGTACCTTCCGTTTACACATTATACCTATAGTTAACACGTACTTTTCGTACATATAAACAAATAACTTGATAATTGCTTAGACATAATATAATTTTGAACATTCAGTTAACACATTTTGTACTTATAGTTAACAGTTTTTGTACATGTAAATAAATAATTTGATAATTGTTGACACATAATATGATAGCTACAGGTACATAAACTATCAACTATAAGTACAGAATGTGTCAGCTATAGATACAAAATTGGAAGATTATTTTTGGACCAGTGTCTACAATGCAAGGTATACAGTGGTCCATGGTATAGTTTACCTCAAAATTTGAAACCGGCCTTTTGGTATGCATGTGTATATATATCATGGTTGAAAAAATCGTTAGGTGCCCGTATATTTTTTACATTTAACTCTTTTATTTTTTACATTTAAAAAATTTGTTTAAATTTTTTAAGACTTGATAATTATAAACTATTTAATAATTTAATTGTTAATAATAAAAGAGTTAATAACCAATTTGGTCCTCCAACTATAATCCTTACCCAATTAAGTCCCTAACTATTAAAATCTTACTCGATTTACTCCTTCGTTAAAATTCCATCCATAGGCTGTTAAATTAAAGGGCAAATATGTAATTTCACATTTCTCTATCTTCTTCAACGTCTCCTGGTGTTCCCTCCCATTGCTGACAAGTGCGTGCTTCTCGGACGAGACATGAACGTTGCTTCCTCTGGACGGCGACTTCACCGAACAACAAATTTGATGGGCGCGACTGATTCTCCTCCGTCCGGTGGTTGTTGTTTGGAGTTCCCAGTTGGTTTTTGTTCCGGTGGCCACCACAACTGGCCTCCAAAGCTTCCAGTTCAAGGCAGGACGAGTTCCCCTGTTTCTCCTTCTTGGTCTCTCCATGTTTCACGGTGACCGGAGAGGAGCTTCAATGGATGTGGATTTTTTGCGACATGGTGGCTCGCTCCTCTTTGCTTTGAATGTTGAATGAAGAATGTATGATTTTCTGGAATTGGATGGCTTTTCCGGCGTGATGTGTGAATTTAAATTACGGGGCGTGTTCTTACATACTCATAAACAAGGAAGCAGCAGTTGCCAAGCTCTGCGGAGTAGCCAAGCAGTGTGATGATTGTAAGCTGTCTTCGTGAGTTGTGGAAAATTTTGCAGACAAGAATGCTTAGTTAGATGCATACATATATAAATGAGTCATCAGCTTGATACAATGCATGCAAAAGTAGCAATTTAATAATCTGATATTCATGTTGACATTACTCCATATATATCTAACCTGGAATGGTAGAACAGAGGCTTCATGGCTTCAAGCCTTCAATCCTGCGCCCACATTTTGCCGAAATATTGATCATTAAAGAGAAATGTGAAATTACATTATTAAATAGCTTGTGGATAAAATTTTAACGGAGGACTAAATCGAGTAAGATTTTAATAGTTAAGGACTTAATTGAGTAAGGATTATAGTCGAGGATCAAATTGGTAGTTTCACAATAGTCAGAGGACCAAATCGGTTATTAACTTATAATAAAATATTAAATAGTAACCTAAAAAACATCTAGAGTTTAAACAATTTATAGAGTTATTTTGCCCAAAACGATATCATTTTAAGTGAAATAACTCATTTAAAAAAAAAAAAAAAAAAACAATAGCTAATCGACATATTAGGCGACCTAGGAGGCTTAGGCGGTTAGCGCCTAGTCGGCCGCCTAGACCATCGATTATAGTGATATGCTAGGCGCCGATTGATTTTTTGCAACGCTGGTATATATAAGATGCAAAACAAATTATCAGAGTGGGTAGTTGTTAAGGTTTTTGTTTCACAAGACTCAAATTAATTCAGAATTTTAGACAATTGCTCTATCAATATTGAATTTTTGTTTTAAATCAAATTTATGGCCCTGTTTGATAAATGACTGGTAGCTGGTAGGTGTTAGCGGTTAGTTGATTGGGTTAATTAGAGAGTATAATTAGTTAATAACATTAGCTGATTCTAGAAAGGTGTTTGGTAAATTAGCTGTTAGCTGATAGCTGTTGATGTAATTTTTTTTTCTCAAAAAGCTAATTGAAAAAGTTGCTTTGAGTGACTTTTTGAATTTTAGTATTTTGGAGTACAAAAAGCTAATTAACCAAACAATTATATTGATTTTTAAACCAAGTCAAACAACTAATAGTGGTCAAATAAGTCAAAATTGACCTATAGCTAACTATTTTACCAAACATGGCCTATATCAATTTATTAACTTGGGATTAGGGATGGCAATGGGTAGGGTGGGTTGGGGAGGGCTACATCCATCACCCGACCGACCTTATATTTTCTCCACTCACCTCACCCTTAACCCGCATCAGGTGGACTTTTTCAAAACTCACCTCCACCCTCACCGAGTGCGGGTACCCACCACTTATAATCTTATTAATTTTTGTAAAAAAATAATATTTAAATTACTTACACATAATAAAATAATAAAATTTATTAGTTAAACTAAAACATAAAATAATAAAAATATTTAAATATAATAACTAAATTTTTAATTTTTAAAAATAAACTTAGTAGTTTAAATATAAAAATAGTAAAAATTTACATGAAGTTATAGAAACTCTTATAAATAACTACATGGTGGGTCGGGTGGGGTTCTAGACGAGTTTTGTACATAGAACCTGAATCCAACCCGACCCTCCGCAGATTTACTTTTTTAAGATCCACACCCGCACAACCCGCTACCACCCAAAAAAACTCGACCCACGCGGGTGGATTCGAGTGGATATCCGCGGGGCGGATTGAAATTGTCCTCCGTACTTGGGATGACGATTTTACCTCTAAAAATATAAAATCTGACAATATTTCGCCGTTTAGTTGGAAAGACTAAAATTGATAAATATAACAAAATTATGCACCAAAACTGACAAAATTTAAAGTTATGCACTAAAAGTGATAAGATTTTAAAAATGGTGAGACAAAAAGTGAAATTAATTATTTTAATAAAAATTAAAAATTAAACACAAAATAATTGACGTCAATCTTATCATGCTTTTTTTTTTTTTTTTTCCTGATTCTGTCGTAAAGGTGAAAAAAAAAAAAAAACAAAATTACTGCTAATTTTCTTTGAAAAGGAAAATTAGCTCCTTCCAGAAAAGAATAATAGAATATGCTTCCATTTTATATTTTTTGTCGCACTTGACATCATACTTGTTTAACTTCCAAATTCTCCCTTAATTATTACATGTAAAAGAGCAGCTACATTTTCCTTCCACATAACAACCGATTGTTATACCAGTAATATGGGTTCATATTGTATTGTGAATCCAGATACAAAGATTATGTACTTTTAGTTAACATATTTTGTACATACAATTAACAAATTTTTGTATATGTAAATAAATAACTTGATAATTGTTGGCACATAATATGATAGCTACAGGTACAGAAATTATCAACTGCAGGTACAGAATGTGTTAACTATGGATACAGAATCTTACTTAATAATTGCTAACACATAAATACATAATATGATAGTTACATATACAAAAATTATCAACTACAGATACAGAATCTAAAAATTATTTTTAAATCAAGATCTACAATGCAAGGTACACACCAGAATAATTTGCTCATAACAACCCACTCATTGCAATTAGCACAACATTTTCTTTCACTTAATGATTTGAAATGTGGAATTTGCAACCATGGTCCGTCCATTTTCCCACATACATAGTAATAATAATAACTTCAAAATTATGAGCAATATAAATTATATAACTTCGACACTTATCATCCTTCAAGAATTATGAATATAGAGTTCAAAAATTATGAACATAGAGTTCTATAATTATGAACATAGAGTTCTGTAATTGTAAATATATAATTCAGTAATTGTGAATATAGAGTTCAATAATTGTGAATATGAAGTTTAAAAATAATTATAAATATAGAGTTCTATAATTATGGATATAGAGTTCAGTAATTATGAACATAGACTTCTATAATTGTGAATATAGATCAGAGTTCAATAATTGTGAATATGAAGTTAAAAATTTATGAACATAGAGTTCTATATTATAGAACACAGATTTTAGTAATTATGAACATAGACTTCCTAAAGACAAACGTCGTTAACGACGAAAGAAAGCAATTTTTTTTTTTTTTTTTGAAAACAAACAACCACATAACTTCATTAAAACATAGAAACGTTCGTACAAACCAAGCCCGACAAACAACAAATTTTAATTAAAGTCAACTTTTTTTTTAACTGACACGACGTCATTTTTCACCAAAACGATACCATTTTAAAACTCTGTCCATATAAGGTGGACACGGTTCCACATCATAATTTGCCTCCCTTTCCCTAATTTCCATAAGCTAACGTTGTATTGGAGGAGTAGTCTATCTTTGTGTAGGACCGCGGACATTATTGTCCTGCTCAGTACGTATATGTGAGGTGTTTGTGCTTTAAATTTACGCACACCATCAACATGAATCAGGTCCATAAATATATAGGGATGCACTCAGGTGCGAATAAGTGTCCAGGAGGAAATATGTGAACGAATCAGCGTGCGATACATGTTCAGATCTAATAGATTAAAAAAATGCGGTGACATTTTCGTAAATAATTGAACATCAAAGTGTAAGTAAAATCACTTGCAAGTGCACCTACTTTCACCTATAAGTGCATGTAATTTTGCCTTGTTAACATTCACTTCCCGCAACCATTCATTCACCTAACTATAGGTGCAACTACTTATAACTATAAGGGGTCGTTTGGTTCACGGAATGTCAGATTACCTTAGGGAATGTTAGATTGCTGGGAATATTAGATTACTGGGAATGTTAGATACCTGTGTTTGGTTAAAATTGGGGTAT